CAATGTCGGCCTGTGTGAGCGTGCGAGCAGAGCAGGAGACGGACAGAAGAGAGTCTGGAGGCGCAGTCGCTCCTGTGACCTGGAAATAACGCTGACCCCTGAGGAGTGTAGTTTCGGGAGCTGCCGATTGAAATTACACGCTACATAAAAATGAAAACATAAGCACAAATGAACACATACACAATGGCAAACTCAAACTCACCCTAAATCTGTACTGCAGTTGCTCTTCACTGTTCCAAGCGATTCCCTAGTGTATGATCTAACCCACTTATTCTCGGCCCGAGACGTGACATGTCTGTTACAGTAATTTAAGGTTTTAACTATATGTCTTGTGACTCCCTAATGCTTACTGACAGCATCCATTCAAATGTGAGTCAGATGAGTAGTAGAGTAGTGTCTGTTTTTCTGTAGGACTGGTGGGTTCCCCTATCATCTGCTGTACCCTGAAAAATAAGGGTTCAAAAAGAGATCTTCCTGAGGCAGAAGTTGGAGGAGGAGGAGCAGGAGGAGGAGCAGAAGAAGCAGGAGGAGGAGAAGGAGGAGCGGAGGAGGAGAAGAAGAAACAGAAGCAGAAGGAGCAGGAGGAGGAGAAGAAGCAGAAGGAGGAGGAGGAGGAGGAGGAGAAGGAGGAGAAGAGGAGGATGAAGAAGAGGAGGAGATGGTAAAGGAGGAGGAGGAGGAGAAGAAGCTGAAGGTGGAGGAGGAGGAGATGGTAAAGGAGGAGGAGGAGAAGAAGCAGAAGGTGGAGGAGGAGGAGGAAGAGATGATAAAGGAGGAGGAGGAGTAAGATGAAAAGGAGGAAAAGGAGGTGAAAAAGAAGGAGCAGAAGAAGAACGAGGAGAAGGACAAAAAGAAGAAGGAGGAAATGGTCAAGGAGAAGGAAGATGAGAAGGAGGAGGAGAAGGAGAAGAGTCCCTGACAGGTCACAGAGCCTTCAGTTGTTGAGTCAGTCTAATCGCCACGGTTACCTGATGGAGTTCTAAGCTCTTCAGTGAATCCCATGTGGCTGTTTGGCTCCTTCAGGGTGAGGGGAAACATATTGTCATAATCATATTGTCAATACGTTTAATCCAGAAGATCCTACAGAGGCCTTACTTCACAATAACACTCTCTTATACTGTAGCTGCATTGTCTAATAAGTAGGACAAATATAAAAAGGGGACAATAGAAAGAGGAGAAGATGTAGAAGCAACTGCTAACATCCCTGAGCTAAACCAACCCAATGACATCATGCATTCCTGACAAAAGACTCCTAACTCTCTATTTATTCTCTCTGCTTCCTCCATCAGCTCATTGTTCCATTAATTCCATCCGATTACTCTCATCTGACACCCTCTACTCCTCTCTATTTTAAACACTTAGATCAGCATTCATTTCTCAGGGAGGAGGAGTAGAGGGGACTGGCAGGACTTTTATCTGAAAAGCAGCTATTAATAACCACTTGGAAAGAAAAGGGAGAGGAGATGGAGAGTAAAAAGAGAGAGAAAGAAAGGGGGTGGATGAAGAGCGAGTGGGAGTGAAAATAGATCAGCTGTGGGCTGAACAAATATTTGGTAAGCAGGGAGCATTTGGTTGGAAGGCATCAAAAAGAGAAAGCGAGCCTCGATGCAGGACTGACTGCAGAGTGCTGCTGAATCGAGAGCAGGCGAGAAGACAGGATCAGTTTGATGAAATATCCAAAGAAAACCAAAAACAGGCACGCCCAGTTCATCAAAGAAGATATTTAAAAACTTTGTGCCCTTGCTGAAGAGGAGCAGTGCAGGTCAGAGTGGATATGACTTTATGCACAGTCTGTAGTAACACCTTACAACTTTCTGGTTAATCCACAGACTGCTAAGGGTTAAGGACTCTGGCTCTGGTGTATGTCTGTGGTAGTTATGACAGCCCCACATCTTTCAGTTTCAGGAATTGAAATAACAAGACATCTTAAAATGTCTGAATTTAAAATGTGGCTATTCACAAGTTGTCAAATTTATCAAATCCATAATAATGATTTAATAAATTCAGGAACACAATTCCCATTTCATGCTTTGTATCAGCTGTTAAATATCCTAACTGGGGCTCTGCTACCAGGATGTAAACCAGCCTCGTGGACGGATTGCGTCTTCGTAGCGCCGAGTTTTTCAGCAGTGTTTTGACCCAAGAATATGAAGATCAAGTTGGATGTAAACTGTATCAGTTTAAACACACATACATACTTGACCAGAGCAATGCATAACCACATTCAGCACAGGCATGTTGACGTTGGCCTGCAAGGAAAAACAGAGGGCTGGTGGTGCTGCTAGCAATGCTAATATTAGCCACACTCCGCAAACCATTTTGACACGCAGACGCTGTGATCCCTGTGTTAAGTTGTGCTCAATGCTCGCTGTTTTCTGAGTCTATTTACCTTTGGAACATTTGAGTTGAATACACATTTAATTGAGTCAATGTTGATTTCTTTCAGAATCGCCTTATTAAGTCATGTAGCGTACTTTACTTACGTACTGTACACTAATCATTTGACCAACGTCAAAAGGTAAATTAAAAACCTAAACCGACCAATACCGTACATCTTTTTCTCATAAACTCAACAAAGTCAGTTTGGTGCAACAATCCTAAGCAAAGAGGGACTATTTCACATTGATCACCATGTGTTGATGATTGTTGCGTGTCCAAAACGTCATGCGCTGAATTGTGGAGCCACAGACGAGGCTTCTTTGTTGACCAGATTGCAGCGAGAATGTTTCTCACCCCTTGAACTCTTTTTTTCCCTCATCCTCCTGCTGGAACTACGGATGATGTGGTTTAAATGGTACTGATGGGGTTAGACTGCAATAGGAAGGAGCGTCACAATAACGCACCAATGGTCCAGTAAGGGATTACAATGCTCAGGCTTAAAATGCTAAGGAAATTGAGAGAGGGAGGGGAAAAAAAAAAAAAAAAAGCAAGAAGCTATAGCTTGTGTGATTAGAGCGGGTGAGACACAAGTCTTTTCTTGATCAGGGTGACTGCAAAGAGTTAAGCTTGACAGGACTTACTGGTGATTATTTTCAGCCTAGACAAGAACAGTAGGGTCACATATGCGCGCGTGCGTGTGTGTGTGTGTGTGTGTGTGTGTGTGTGTGTGTGTGTGTTATTCAGACATAGACATTCAAACACTCCCTCAAAGAAACACACACACACACAGCCCTTCTAAAACAATCAGTATGCATAAACAATCACATCTCTGACCCCTTCAGCTATCTTATCTTCATCACTAAGGCCAGATAATCCACATAGGTCCTTTAACACACACACATAAACAGATACACATATCCACATCCCAGTGTCCACAGTGCTGACGTCATCGCACATATTCGCTGTATTGGTTTTTAAAGGGCTGTCTTATCAGTGGCCATGTCCGGAAGCTAAAGAACACACTCACCTTCTCCCTCAGTTCGATGTCTAGTAAACGGGATGGTAATAACTTCTTCATTAAACTACAATGTCATATATTCCTGTTCCACAGTGCATATCATTTGAAAACTTGATATATCCTGCAGGCAAGGACAGTTCTGCATGCTGTAAAAGTCTGAATATCAGTTATCACATTAATTAATTTCAGCCTAATTTATGCTTCTGCTGCTGATATCTTATGATGTATTAATGAGAAGAATTTAATTATAACACTATTAAAAACGCTCCTTTCAATACTAAAACGACTCTCTGGGTATGAGTATGAAAGCTTTTATTTATGAAAGTTTGTATTCTTTCACAGATGGAAGCTACAGGTCCATCTCTAATTAGTCTAAAGTTACTTTTAGCCAAATTTATCAGTATTTTAATGTATTTATTAAATGAGTTGTATTTTTAGAATCATTCTATTTCTTTGTCCCAGATTACCTCGTTAAATCTTCATCAGAGTGCTTTGATTCAAGTTTACAAAAACCTCAGTCTTTAAAGTGTGACGTTAAAAAAAACCACACTGCATCAATGGGGCTACTATTATAAGAAGGAGTTTGTGCTCCTAGCAGTAGAATATGTCATTATATCTACAGTAATTTCACAGCAAGTTAACGACTAAATCCTTTTTCTGTGTGTCGTCTTTGAAAAAGAAAAACACATTTAGAGTTCTGAAAGCTAAACAGATTTACATAAGCCATTTAAATTTGCATCTGGAGTTATTAGTTTCCAATCAATTTCACTTTGTGTTCTGCTGGAGTTCTATAGCGAGTCTAATCTCATCAAGACGGGAATGTTTGGTGACAAATTTAAATGTGTAACAGATGAAGTGGGTGAGAGTGGGGATATGGATTTGCATAAAATCTGAGAATGTCGTGAAACTGATTCTCTGAAGCCAGCGCTATAATGCAAACACTATTTGTAAGTATTTGCATGCTATACACAGCCTCCACGATGTGGCCAGACTGAATCTGTGTGCCTCTACACTGAAGGCTCAGGAAGTGAGGCACACACACATATATATATATATATATATATATATATATACATATATAAAGATAGATAGATTTCTAGTACTATTTTAACACTATACCGTATTTTTCTACTTATATTTCATTACTGTAAATATGTTTGTTTTTTCACTTTTTGCTATCTTTCGCTGATTCTTTTCCTCTTTTTTTGAGCTGTTGTAACAACCACATTTCCCCCATTGGGGGATAAATTAAGTTGATCTTATCTTATCTCAACACAGAGGCAAGTAGATGATGTGAGGTTCATGGACCAATTTAACAGGAATCCAGGGGGGACCCATGCAGAGTATGGATTAGTCTGATTTCATCAATATCTCATTCATTTAAAAGAGATCAACTCGACTACGGTCCAAGAGGAGGAATAGCTTACATGATTTCTTAGGGTGAAATTGAAAAAAAGACAAGAAAAGGACAAAACTCTATCTCCACATCTGGTCCATACACAAGATGATTTTCCTCAGCATCAACAAGCATGTCCCACTTTTGAAGACCAGAAGCCAAAGTTTCATAAAGTGGAGAATAAGAGTGCATGTATTGTTCCCCTACCTGCCGCTTGTGTTGCGGAGGATCACCAGAGCATCGGGGAAGCCATCCAGATTGTAGTCTCCGAGGTGCAGGCCCAGGGGCTGGCTGGGTTTCCCTGGCACAAAGCCCCAAACGGTGTTCTTCCACTGGAAATCCAACAGCACCGGTACCCACTGCAACGACATCAACAAAAATGACTCATCAGTCAAAATGAATCAATGCAACTCTCTGCACAAAAAAGTGAGAATTGACAACAGGAGGATGGTGAGGCATAAAGAAGGAACCATAGCTGAGCATGGCCAAAGTCAGAAATCTACTTTGTCATTTGTTTAAAGAGAAATATCACATTTCCATCAGCCTAAAGACAACTTTTCAGCTGAAAACACAAGTGTACTGCTTAAATGTGTGTTGTTCATCAAATTGGGTCCAGATATGGACATTTGAGTACAAAGAATTTAGACTGCATGTAGTGACTGCACTCGGATAAAACCGGTTGTATCAGTATGTTTCTGCTCAATACTCAGTGTATGAACGATAATATTTGATACACTGTTGAAGTGCTACTGACTGAGGAATGAACACTTACTCCCTGTTCATTATCAATGAGCCTACATGTAGATTGATATTTCTGACATCAAATAGGCAACCAAACACAAACTTCTTATCAGAGGGCATGGAGGCCTCAGCAGAGTTTTCTCCTGACCTGCTTTCATCAAAGGCTTCACCAGAATGCTCAATGCACAGCTGGTGCTCACGCATTTGTGCTTTTAAAATAGAGTGAATATTACATCATGAACATTTGAGTCTAGTAATGAAAAGCCAAATACAAACATTTTTAAAAAGTACAGATAGGAAACAATTAAAAGGAGTTGGAGCCTTGGTGGCGTAAACAATGGCTGTGGAGGTCTGACATATAGCAGCAAACACTTTAAGAGCTCTCAAAGAACTCTAACAACACTCCTCGCTGTGGGTTTTATGCTGGCTAGTTCTAGGATCCCATCAACTACCAAAAAAGTTTTTAAAAAAATGACCTCATTTTAAAACAGAGGTCTAATATCAACATAGTGAAATTCAATCCTAAACTGTCGAATTAACAGCTATCTCTATAGTCTTTAAGTTTATCTGCAGCATACAGAGACTCCAGCAGAACTGAGAGGCACTTAGTTAAGAAACAAAGAGCCAATCAGAATTGTTTAGATCAGATATTTAAAATCAGTATAGCTGCTCCTGACCCTGTTTTAATCAATCAATCTTTATTTGTTTAGCGCCAATTCATAACAAATGTCATCTCAAGACACTTTACAAAAAGCAGGTGAAAGACCTTGCTCGATGTTATGTTACAAAGACCCGACGTTAATCCGTCATGAGCACTGAGCAACATTTAGCAAAGTTACAGTGGCAAGAAAAAAAACTGCCTTTTAAGAAGCAGAAACCTCAAGCAGAACCAGAGTCATGATGAACAGCCTTCTGCTGAGACTGTGTTGGGCTCGGAAAGTGCCACAGAGGAAGATGCAGAAAGGAAGAGATGATATAAAAATCCTGTCCAATCACAAAGCAGAAAAGAGAGAGATGAAATGACCAAAATGTCACTGAGTAGAACGGACCAAAAAAACTGTAAAATAACTAATGAAATGTCTCTTCATTATAAATTGTTACCTGGACTAATAATAAACTACAAAGCAGGCTTTAAAGAAGCAGGTGATGTGTGTGTATGTTCATAGCCTTCAGCTTTGCCTCTCATATTTTTCTCTTCACACAACAGACACAGTGACTGAAGAAGCTCTCTCACTCTTTTAAACAAACACAAAAGAGGCGTCTCTTCCTCATGTTGACGGTTCAAATGACGATTGTAATAGGGCCCTCAAGGGGGCTTTGCTGTAATGCTGCTGCTGACTGATGTACTAGCAAGGAAACAGTGAAACCAAAGGGGTACACACAGTGAACTGCTTTAAAACAAAGAGCACGCCGGAGAGAGAGTGCTTTAAAGGGCCTCGCTGAGGTCATTATCACCTCTCACTTAGAATGGATGCTGTTTCACTTAGCGGCTGCATCTCCAACACACTACGCTGTTCCCGAGGCTAGACTCTCCATTTAGGTTTTTAACAACTTTTTTCTCTCTCTCTCTATGATTTAACAAAATGATGTTGAAGAATGCAACAGACAAAAATGAGCTATTAATCTTCATTTTGAAAAGGGGAGGATTTATTCTAACTGCACATTTCTTCCCTGTGAATTCATCCAACAGAGCTCTAAACCAGTGACAGGAACGCTGGTCTCTCTGCTTTCATTAGTGTCTTCGCTATGGGTTGTTAGCGAGTAGACTCTTGTGAATTACAAACAACACAAGACAGCGAGAGTGAGAGAGAGAGAGAGAGTTATCTCTACTCCTCACCTTCACACCATCAAAAGTGACAATTCACCAGTGCCATTTCTCACCATTAAGTACAAGACGATCAGTTCAGTGCATAAATAGTTTTTGACTTGTGCACCCAATGATGGATTAACTACAGTCTGTAATAACCGAATGCAATCCAATTACAGTCCAGGAAACGCCAAATATGAAATAAGCTACCAGTTTGTCAGGTAGACCCAACTGAATTTAAATCAGTCTAAAAGAACAGACCTGTTATCAGCTGTTCAATCATACTGTTGAGGTTAAAGCAAGTGTCAACCTCCGGGTGTTGAAAAAACGAGGCTGATGCCAGAGTGCAACAAACTGCAGTTCCTTGAGTGTCCACTTGAGGCTTGTTGCAGAAGCATTGGGAAGTCACAAACACATCTGTTTCTAACTGCTACACAAAGAATTTTAAAGTGGTGTGGGCATCCTCTACAGTAATTCCCAGTTCAACATCAGACTCCACCATGATGGCTGCTGCTATGTACGAGACAGTGCTCACCTTGATGAGAAATATCGTCTCGCTTTAATATCGCGAGATTTCGTCGCACAAGAACTCCCCTAAGTCACACCCCTACTTACAGAATCAGCGAACCTCTCTCACACATTATCACTTTTGTTCACATTTTTAGGTTAGGTTAGGATACTTCAAAATATTGACACGAATACTTAGGAATCTAACTTTAAGTGATTGAACAGCGACTGGCTGTACCTCGTTTTTTAAATGACTAAATGACTTCAGACAACTTGAGAACTTGTTGGTGTTCAATATTTACAGAAATGTGTTTCTATTATTCATCTTTTCCACACTTAAATTCACTACGTGTGTGTTTCTATTGGACAAGTGTGAGGCCAGATGCTGGCGCTTTAAACAATTTATGGATGTTAAAAAGAGAGAGCAGCTGGGGGGAGTCACCAGAGAGACACCAGATCGTCTCCACGAGCTGATAATATGACCAGCATGTCTGAGAGAGACAACCACACCCTATTACTAATTACTTTTATCACACACGCCTAGATGTCACTGTTGTTAGTCACCTCCAAACCACCTTTGCACACAATGTGAGCACAGGTATTAGTGTAGTGGTCCAACTTCAGTGGCAGGCATCTTGATGGTTGTGGGTCTAGAGAACATTTCTAAGCTTTGTTAATCCATTTATTATTATATTATAACAATAATAATAATTATTATATTACTCACTAATGGTTTCTTGATTATTGATGATAAAATACATTTCAAGTAATGTAATATTATACCATAAAACACTACACTAATTGAGATAATTTGTCTTACTTCATGGGCTAAATCACGATGTGCTTGACCCCATCACAAAAGTATAGAAACAGTTATATAGACACATGTAGTGTACCTGCATTAAAGGGAAAGAATACTTCAGTCTTAATGTGGTAAGAAGTATTTTATGATACAAGAACAAAACTAATTGGCATTATATTTGTTTAATTTCCACCCCGAATAATTATGTTTTACGTAACATACCTTTCACAGGTAAATAAACCTTTAAAGTTATTTAGAGATATTTATCAGTGGAGTTTAATATTTATACACATTTGAATCAAACTCTTTTAAAGCCTTGAAAAACCATAGTTCAGTTTAGTCTTTAGGTTTCTACATCCTGGACTGACTCAGTGTAGGCAGCAGTGGTTCAAGGATAAAAGCCATTATACTCTACTACATACATATGGAGTTCTAAAAGCAGGGGAGTGAAAGCCAAAGAAATGTTTCAAAGCATAAGAGTATGATTAAAGCTCTAATTCAATGCTGCCTGGGCAAGCTCTCATTTCATGATCTTTAAGCGATGTTGCATTGTGGTTAGAGAGGTTACTTCCTGCCACAGTAAGGGCTTGGCTTTGATTACCGCCGAACAGAGTGGAGGGGACTGCTGGAAATGATCACTTTGAGCTGGCTGAAAGAAGTGACGAGATAGTGAGACCTAAAAGGCTGCAGCCAGGGGCGCTGGTGGCCAGTAAATACGGTGCTACACATGGATGCACATAATGGTGCGCTGTCCAACAAACATACACATTAAGCCTGGCTCACACTGTGTGATTGTTCTACGATTGTATAAAAGTCGGGGTGGCATGTCAGCTCACACTGTACGACTGGATCGTTTACGACGCACGACCAGATCTTGCGATTTAGGCGCATGACCCGAGAGCTCAGACTGTACCAGTGAAATCGGGACGGAGCACTGACAATTGTTAAGTTGTTAAGTTAAGTTTCATTTGAAAACTCTAACGGACAGCAGTGGAAGTTGTTGTAGGATATAGGAAAGTTGAAACAGTCGTAGCCATGACTACAGTCCTTCCTGTCTCTCGTGATTATATAGTAGTTGTCCAGACGTGTTCATGGCGTAATCGTCAAGATTTTACATCCTGAATATCAAACATGTTTGAAATATATTGTCCCTGACGATCGCCAAGCAGATCGGGGACATTAAGATTGGATCTTTGTACCACTCACACTACATGATAATCTGAGCAGATAATCGGTTCCGAGCAGCCTCGAGTCAGGAGCGACCCTGGGATTGTTGGGAAGAAAGAATCGGAGCTCAAATCTCCCCGATTATCCTGCATTGTGCAAGGCTTTAGACACAATCTGAATAGATGTTGTACTATTATTCCCCTGATAGGAAAATGGCAGAAAACATGTTAATAATGTGTCTCTTTATTATCTGGATTAAATTCAGATTATATCAAAAGTACATCTATTGTAGGTAAGAATCATACACTGTATACTTAATGTAATGACACACTGTG